AACTAATGAATTCTTCCCCGTCGAGTTCTATCGCATAGTCAGTCTCAGTTATGAATTTCCTACTCACTGGTACAACCGAAAATCGAAGCGTCTGTCCTATGTTACGTGCAATTGTGTATATCAATTTGTGTGTATGTGCGAGAGTAGTTACATCAAGTGAACGAGATCATGGCACAGGCTTACATCAGAGTCTTCAACTAAAGAAGTAAAACTGTTTGCCAACCTTAGTCACTAAACACGAGATATCACGCAGGACATCGAGTAGACGCTTTGGAGTTTATTACGATTAACAGACCAAGCACCCTAAGTCTCCTTCAGTTTGTCAAGCCCAGTTGAAAAAAAACACGTCTAAAACCTGATTTTTGAGTCCTAAGTGAATTTGTCATTGAACTTCAGTTAACCTTGTAAATCTTCGTCGTAACTGATTATTTGATTGCAGCGTTTTTTCAGTTTATTTTCATATTAGGCCTATATTTTTAATCCTTTGAGCTCTACTCACAGTATTTTAGTGCCTTTTATGCAATTATATTACTAACTTATGTACGTGCTTAAGTAATTTCGCGATTTTTTATATCGCTACCCTCAGCAATATATATTTTTCTGTTTACAACGAGGACTTCCTTTCTAAGAAGGTATATGTTGGTAGCATCTTGAGTAGCTTATTGTTTCTTACTTCAATACGACGCTACACTTCCCTTCTGGAGGACTGATTCTAATTAGTGGACCAATGTATGTTAAAATTGTAAGTCATATTAATTGTTACAGGTTGTACACAAATTAAAATGGATTCATTCTGTAACAACAGAAGACAAGGGCCAGGCAACAGATCGTTTATTAAGGAAAATCAACACATTATTATAGATTTTAATGTACATTATTGTTAGTAGAAAATACAGTCTTTTGATTGGTTGTTTCTCACCGAAAGTTAACCTTGCATCTCTTTGTGGCTGTGTCAGATCATCCATATGCTAACTGTATCCGCCTACGCAAAGCCTTTGTTCTCATTTTCTCACTACCAATATCGGGGACATAAACATTGACGTCAATTACTGTCTACCAACTTTGGCTAGCAGCCAGCTCTCACCACAATTCTATTTCACTTCACGTTTATACTTGCTCTTTAGCTATGTTCAACAGCCCAAATCATAAACGAATACTTTGCGATTTCATTTGTGTTAGTGCCAGCCGAATTATTAACTGAGTTGAGCATCTCTCATCAACCAAAAAATTGTAATTATGTTTTCAACATTTGACACAGCGATCGGATGTTGTTGTTACTCTGGCTTGAAGTCATAAAGAGAAGAAATAATGCCATGAATTAGTATTTAGGCTGATACGAGGCGGTATGCATACAACGAGTACAAGTAACTGTTGCAGAGCAAGCCACAACTGGATGTCTGAATTCATTGAGCACAAATCATCTGACTTAGACTCGCTTCAAGACTACAGATGGTTTTTTTAAATTCCTCCTTAGCGTTCCGATTGCAACATAGACCTTCGAGTTTCTCAGGTTTCAGTAGCCGTATTGTTTATACAGCTAGTTTCATATATCCAACCTTTACCTCTTTCCTGAACTTACTATCTTTAGCTAGGCGAGATTGACAAGTGCATCATCGGTTGGGGACCGAATCCAGAGTTTCGCGTGGCTGGCGAGCATTCTACCATTGGACCACTGACGCACTAGCCAAAACTTCGGGTCGAATACAAAATCTAGAGAGGCATTCAACTAGCCACAAAAGAGTAGTTGAAGATCACTCATTTTTAGTACATCTGTATGTAGAAATATTTTTTTCAGCTGTTGCCTCGATTGCAGTCATAGAGTTTATGTACGAACACTGATGTCGCCCTCTCGAATCCTTTTCTCTTAATACAGTTTCGGAATTTTTGACTTTCACTCCTGAAATATATGGTAATATTTATTGTCTGTCTAGTGGACAATGATTTGCAAGTGTCTTTTCCTATTCTACTTCTGGCACTAATAATTTGCCCACTAGTATCTCAAGTATACAAGTCTTTCTGAAAAACAGTTCTACTAATTCAGCGAAATCCTTAAATTACTGGCCTACCAAAATTTCCATCCATAATAGTGCTTAAACTCTTCTGCATTTCCCATTGTTTTAATCGTGCAGTTATATCTATTGATCACTACAAGGACTCGCACCCATTTCTGATTAGCATTCAGCAAAATACTGTACAGTTCTGGAAGAAAAAGAAGGTGTGGTGAGAGCTGTCTGCAAACTGAAATTGTAGACAACAATTTACTTCAATATTTACGTCCCGAATCGGGGTCATAAGAGAAGGCAATAAGAAAGCTTAACCTTGGGAGCTCACCAACCAATCACAGCAGACTTAACGTGTGCAAAAAGGATTCGCAGATATATGGTTATTTCCACAAGCAGTACAGAATAACCTTCAGCAAGAAAACAACCAATCAGAAGACGTTGCTTCTCCGCTAACAATAACGCTAATAATAATGTACATAGAAATCTATAAATATGTCTTGATTTTCTTAATGAATGATCTGTTGCCTGGCTTTTGTCTTCTGTCGTTACAAAGGAAGAGCATTGTTGAGAATTGAATCTTTCTTTATACAGAACAAGATTGCGTCACATGATATATACTGCAGATTATTATTTCACTTGTAGATCTTATACGAGTAGGAAATATTTTTCAGGTAAAAGCGCTGAGAATGTCCGTACTATGTGTTAATAAAATATTGTCTGAAATAGAGCCTTATTGTTTTATTACTACACTTCGCCCACTTATTCACTCTTTGTCATCGTCAAAATTCTCAAAGTCCTGTCTCATCTCCATCTGATTACTCTCGAGAAACAGTGTCCACTGAAGTAGGAATAAGTGATTAAAGAATTAGGTGGTCAAGTGAAATAATGGTACTTGTCTATGAAGTTTTTAGACAGAGAGTTTGGGGCACATAGGAAATTGTAGACTTCCTGGGTTGAAGTTTTCACGATGCTAAGAATCAGTAGTTGATGACATGGCTTTCTTTGTGATTATCAAAATTCTGTAAGTCCTCCTTAATCTCTCCTCAGTTGTTTTTACCTTGTTGTTACTCGTGACTATTATAGTTTTATTACATTTCTTTTCTCCACATTTGTATTTACTTTAGGAAGAGCGGCAACTTGAGTTGATCCACTTCTGTGCAAAGTTATTAACATTTGCCTTATAAGAAAAGTGTGATTTCAAATGTGATCTCACAGTTCCCTCAAAAAGAAGAATATGGTCACCATATGAGCGAGTGATATTATTCTTAGGGGTGATAGCATACCCCTGTGAAATGTAAGATGCTGCTACAGGACTAGACTACGTCAACTCCTAGCTTAGTGATAGGGAGTGAAGTGATGGAACATGTTGACCACTTCACCTATTTGGGAAGTTGTATCAGCACCAACGGATTGAATGGTGACGAAATCACAGCACGGATCCAGAAAGCTCGGGCTGCTTTCGCTAACTTACACCGTCTCTGACGTAGGCGTGACATCCGGCTGTCAACCAAGGGACGTTTGTACTGCTCAGCAGTTCGCTCCGTCCTTCTCTATGGCTCTGAAACATGGCCAATACGAGTTGAAGACATGAAGAGATTGTCTGTTTTTGACCACAGATGTTTACGATCTCTTTCTCGCGTTAGGTGGTATAATAAGGTAAGTAATGTTGACGTTAGGCGTAGAGTGTTGGGCAAAGAGGGAAAATCACTCGAAGAGGCTATGGAGTTACATAGATTGAGATGGTTAGGCCACGTGCTGCGCATGCCTAACCATCGTCTCCCCCGACGGGCATTACTAGCTGATATAGGTGCAGGTTGGAAAAGAGTAAGTGGTGGCCAAACAAAAACATGGCATCAATCCATGAAATCCCTGACAGTTAAACTGAGTCAGGTAGGGAGATGCAGACTTCCGGGTTGGGGCCCTCGGGACTCTAAGAATCAATGGCTGGAGACAATAGGTGACATGGCTCAAAATCGTTGTCAGTGGCGCAGATGTATTCAGTCTCTTTAACCTCTCATATTCCTTTCTACCATTACTCATTCTGTTTCACTCTTATACTTATCTAAATTCTATTGATTCTCTTCTCTCATTTTCCTGTCTACCTTTGTGTGCTATTTGGAACGTGGCAACTCGAACTGCTGCACTTCGGTGCCAAGTTCTATGTTGAATCCAGCAGCAGCATACACCGATAGCAAGCATTTCAAGAGTTACAAGTCCTTGTCTGTTTTGTATCACAAAAATGCAAAGTACTTCATAGAAGCATAAAACAGAGTCCACACTTTATGAACTACAATGGTGTGAGAGACATACGTCAATGTAGAATATCATTGATGCAGTCTTAAGTTTTATACAGATGGAAGAAGTCGAATACTAAACGCTATAACTGTCTACTAGTGGCAATCCACTAGTGGGATAGTGACATCTGTTGGTTTTCTACGAACAATCGAAGCTATTTTTATAACACTTTATTTGCACTCCATTTCGAGGAACACACGAATTCTAAACGAACATCAAAAGCAGAATTATAATCTCAAGGGCCTTATTACCCTTTCTCCGGCTGCTCAATATGATGCTGAGATCTTACCGATTTAGTGTTTAGCGTCGGTGGCACAGTGGTTAGGACGCTCGCCGACCATACACACGGTCCGGGGTTCGATCCCCGGCCACCGACGCACTCCTTTACCTCGCTAAGCTAGAAATAAAGCTGGTAAAGAGGAAAGGTTGGGCATGAGGCTAGCAAACCCATCCTGTAAAAATAAACACCACTGCTACAGAAACTTCAAGTCTCTAGCTTGAAGCTGTATGTTCCACTGGGAACGTGAAGGAATAAAAAAAATAAAAAAGAGAAGTCACAAACGTTTTATGAAAAAATTTTACAAAAATAACGATTTTATGTACATTGTAATAAATAAGTACATGGTTTATTACAAAATAGTTGTACTGACCAAGTGCCAGATTCTCTCCTTGATTGAGTATCCATCCATCCATACGGTTAGGTTAGCTAAGAGCAATATTGATAACTCGACCAGTTGGAGTGAATGGTCTGCAACAAAATGCATTATATAAATGATAAATATTATACCTTATTTTAACACCAGCCTTTTCAAAAAGATATTTAGCAGCTATATTAGATTGTGTTCCAACTTTCTTATCCGAATAATATACGACTTCTTTGATACCTGCTTGTATAATCACTTTGGCGCATTCATTACACGGGAACATTGTTGAAAATAGGATACAACCTTTAGAATTTGCTTCATTACGATTCAATACAGCATTTAATTCAGCATGACAAACTGTAAAAAGTTGTTTTAAATAAGAAAAAAACTATATACCGTATAAATATTTATTCTCTAGTTCATTAGTTGATTCTTTTCCCCAGGGGACATCATCATCTGAAACACCATTTGGCATTCCATTATATCCTATCCCAACAATTTTATTCTCTGTATTGACTATACAAGCACCAACCTGAAATATAAAATATTTGTACACATATATTAGTATTGGCTTGTATTTAGACAATATGCTGAGAAGTAATTTATAAATAATCGAGAGAAAAACAAGTTGATACATGTGAATGAACAATGAATGTGAAATCAAAACAGGAAGTAGCTGTAATAGCTCTGAGCAGTATGCTAAAAAGTCTAAACGAGGAAATATAATTTGATGATATTAGATAGTTGGAGGCAATCGGCCACAGGAAGCCCAGCTTTCGACCTAGGTTTCGTGCTAGTTGGCACTCGTCAGCAAGGCGTATCTGCAACCTTGAAGGAACTCATGTCCACGTCACTCAGTGCTGCAGTCAGAGACGTTACCACTAAGCTATTCGGGCTCGCAGTTGACCTCCTGTAGACTGTAGCGGTATTCTGATTGGACACTTGTAACTAGTGTGACGTGTCTAGTCTTTTCTTTACTGAAGACTGAATTCTATCAGTCAGGTTTGCAATGTGGCCACCATTCTAGGTAGCTCGCCATCATGATGCACACTGATTTGATGACATTAGATAGCTGGAGGCGATCGGCAGGAAGCCCAGACTTCGACCTAGGTTTCGTGCTAGTTGGCACTCGTCAACAATATAATAAACAAGCAAAACACTACTATTGAACAACTATTCCCCAGAGTTTATTTGGAGTTCACGAAAAATAAACTACAGGGGTTCGAACCCGACCAAACAAATCCCCTGCAAACTAACACTTGAAATATAAAAACTAGTAAAAGGTGAGAATTAGTTATCATAGTAAAAATCATGGAAGGGAATTTAATATCTCCACAGCGTTATCACACATGAGGAAGGGATTTCGGAAATCCTACGTAAGATTTTTAGTCGCGTGACGTTTAGATTTACAAACTTACTACTTAGAGACAAGTTTTGCAGACTCAAGGATCCTATTGATTTTTCATGAGACAGAATCATCTACTTTCAAGTTCGATCTAGAGCTGATATCAGTCAGAGAACCACTGGAAACCCAGCTGGGAGTATTGGACAGTTGTTTCTGCCCCCTTCCTTGGGACTCTGCATCCACCGGGGTTCGAGCCCAGGACCTGGTTAAAAAGTAAGCTCACAGACTATTCAGCCACTGGGACCCGATCCAATGGCCCATGAATTCCAAAATCTGCCAGTTCGTGAAATTATCTGGTATACCAAATGACTATGTGGTTAAGCATATAAGTCACACCAGTCATTCGAGATCATTTAGGTTATCAAGGCAGAAATATTACTTCACAGTACATTGACAGATCGAAGAAAGTAATTTAGAAATAAATAGTTGTTATTTATGAATGCTCCAAGAAATACACAGATTGAGACAGTTCTAAAGGGTGATAAAGTTAAGTGGAGGAAGAGGTTGCTCGGTGATTTCTCGTTTATTAAATTAACCGCTTATTCTTATACAACACGATTGACGCAACGCATACATCCAAGATATAGGAAGTAAAACTTCTGATAAAGTCATCTCGGGAATATAATTAATATTATTACTTTTTCTATTAAGTACCTCTTTTTAGTCACATACTTTCTAATAAATTTGCAATTAAATCATTATTTACCAGAGGTTAGTGACTTGGGTTAATTTGACATAACAGGACAGATTATTGAACAAAATATTTAGCTAGTCAATGTTTGAATGGTCCTACTTCAAATAAAGTAATGCAGCAGCACCACCGTTACAGAAAACTATTACTTTAATCTATACCCCTTTAAGTTACACTAAACCTCGTGTTAACTTGAACATGAGATATCTTTCACGAAACTCATAGAAATTGAATTTTGTGGTCCTCGGGACAATTGTTGATACGGCGCAAAATCGTTCTCAATGGCGCAGATGCATCCACTCGTTGTGACTTATAATATCCAATAAAACTATATTGTTCTTCAATATTACTATTCTCTTTGCCTCACATCTCTGTTTACTGTCTCCGATTTGTATTTCTTTTTACTTTCTCCTTTTGCTTTGTGTGCTGAGTGAAGTGTGGCGACTCGAACTGCTGCACATCGGTGTAAAGTTCCACGTCGAAACCAGTCAGTCTAATACTACGTCGGCTGACTCTGCCGATCGAGGAAGGAGATAGCTTGGTATGAGCAACGTGTCTTAGCCATCTCAATCCATTATTCATCTTCACATCGACTAACTACCCTATTTACCTAACAATCTATGCTTAGGTTCACAATATTACTCTCCATACTATACCACTTAACACGGAAGACAGAACACAAACACCTGTGGTCAAAGACAACTAGCCGTTTTATATCTCCCACTTTCAAAGGCCGTGTCTCACAACCATAAAGAACCACCTGGTGCGTTGCGCATACGTCCTTTGATGGATAGCCAGATCACGTCTACTGCGGAGATGACATAAGTTGGTGAATAACTATACGAGTCTTTTGTGCCCGTGCTACGATTTCTTCAACAGTCAGCTCGTCAGAGCTGATGTCGACTTTCAAAGAAGTGAGAGGTTAAATAGCTCCATCACTTCACTCTGTGTCTTTAAGCTAGGAGTCAGTGCAGATCAATCCTGCAACATTTGAAGTGTAAAAAGTAATAAAATGAAGAAATGAATATAAACCAGACAAACTTCAAGCTATAATTCTGCCTTTAATAATTCTTTAAAGGGGTAAGACTTTTCTTAAACAAAACAGTAATACTGTCCACATACATATGCCGAAACAATGTAGGTGAAAAAAGGAGGCTGCTTACTTGAGTTGAAGGATCCTTACTTCTCATAGCGGACAAAAGTGCTATAGACATAAAATATTCGTCCCAAGACAAATAATTTGACCGTTTACGAGTTCCATTCAAACACAGTCCCTTCAGTTCTAGTAGTAACCCAAAAATAAAATTGAATATTAAACAGAGTACCCGTGACAACTTAAAGTCGACTGTATTATACTGATTTTATGAATAAATGCAGAGTGCTTGTGGAAAAGTCATACCATCAGATTTTACTTTACAGAAAAAAATTATTTCGGTATCCATAATTACTGATTAGTTGGATTTTCGAGGAATTAGAAACTAAGTGCACGAGATTTATAATTCATTTCGTAAGTATGCATCCCTTGTCCACTATATAACTTATTTTCAGCAAATAGAACAAATAACATTTGGTAATTTAAGTCAGCTTACAAGAAATGCATAACTTGTAGAGATGGTCTTGGCAACAAGTCTCATAATATGATAAGTAACTGGTGAATTTTAATGTACACACCAAAAACACTGACAGTCGAAAAGAATAGTGCAACTGCTTAGTCAGTCAATAAACCTTACTGTTTCATTCTACATCTAAACAAACTTGAATGGAATACAAATAAAATGTATCACTTGCGCAGCGTGAACATCGTGGTAATACCAAACTAATAGACAGGTTTTTGTTGGGATCGACACTTGCGTCAGTATCTTTACCTAAAACAACTGACATACAAAGTGGTATATCTTTAGTTGGGACGAAGTGTTACTTAACAAAAACTTGCATTTCTATGCAGTTGACAATGAGTTGCAAAACTGAAGATATTTTCTGACTGCTCAAACTTCGGTGTGACCATGCGATCACAAGTCAAGTACCTAGACCGGTGAGCCGCAGCTCTACTTCATGACATTGGAGGTCTATAAATCTGACAATATTGTGTACCATGAAAGTTAAATAGTTGGTTAACGTGTGCATTTTTCGAAAATAACACCACATATGGTGATCTTAAAGAGTAGAGCTTCATTCATATAGAAGAAACAGCCTTAAACAATCGACGTTTACATCTGCGTATATGAAGTGACCGTAAAATTAAAATATAACTTCTTAACACATGAGATGAAGTATCTAGTTAAAACGCTAAATTCTACTTGAAACACTTAATATTTTTGCCATTATAATAGACTATGAAAGTATTGCTTTAACATACCATTTTCTACCAAGATATCCATATCAGTTTAATTCGAAGTTTAATGTGCAAGACTGCCACGGCCTCACCGAAAGAATACCGGAGTCCACACCTTTTTCACCTAGGTGATAAAGATTAGAAAAAATAAGTAAAGGATGTAAGTATGTATATATATGTCCCTCCACTAAACGGAGACATGTTCTTGTGACTGTTCGAAAAAGCCACACGTAAGATTTTTGCTATGACTAATCCATAATACAAGGACTGACTTAACAGTTTAACTTTCTTATTATTACATGGTACACATATAGATATTCCGATGTTTGAAATTCTAAGAGATGACAACAGGCCTGATGCATCTTTTCTTTCCCTTCCCACAAAGTTAAGGCGCAAAGTATGAGGGTTTAGAAGTCAATAATGGAACCTTATAGCTGTGGGACACACCTACCATTAGGTTTTGAAACTGACTCCAGCAAGAATAATTGTCTGAGCCCACGATAGACAAGCGTATAATAATTGGAAAAAAAAGTAAACTTGAATCCTAACGTAAGTAAACATGGGAATGTTTCAGCCTACTCCGTTCAAGAATACACGGAATACATGGGAAAAAATGGGCAGACATGATAAATTGAAAGAATATGTGGGGCAGATATCTACCAAACCCAAGAGAAGAGTCTGGAGTAATTTTGAAAGTCCCTGAGGGAATATTGGGGAAATCTAGTATTTTCCGCCCAAAACCCCTAAAAACTGCAGTTTTAGGGGCATACACCAAAGATTTTGTCTGGAAATACTGAGTTATAATGTCGCCGTCCGCCCACTGTTTGCTTCTGTTCTATTTCTAAGAACTGTCCACTCACCCTACATTACACACTTTCCTCATATACGTTCCCCAATTAAGCTTCTGTAGGATGTGTAGTTGTGTCCCTTTTATTCTAAGGCGATATAAAGCACGACAAATTTTTAATTCATGAAAATTTGATTACTGCTTACAAAGAGCTCTAAACTTACGGAATTAGTGGTGAATGAGCTGAAACACCCAAAACACGCTGAGTTACGCACGTCCGAAAAGTGCCGGTACAATCCAATTAGAGGTTCCAATATCCATTGAACATTTAACGTACATATGTTCATTGAATTCTTCATGCTTACTTCTTGATCAGAAGGATCATTTTCAGTTGTGTGGTTTCTATGCATGCAAGAGACCTGCTTTGTTACCTGATGAAGATCTGTCAAAGCAAAAAGAATGGAAAAGTATTCCTTATTCACCGGGGAATTTTATCCTGGGTTATTTGTGCGGCTGTTGTCTTCTCTTGAAACATTCTCACAGAATTTTCTGTGGTCGAAGGAAAGGGCTGACAGAGATTCGGAGAAATGAAGTATGAAACACTATGTATGCTATGAAAAATAAAAACTTTATGCAAAATAAACTGGTAGGTGGATTTGGGAATGGCAGCCAGTTGTGTATTTGCGCAGTAATCCTCTGGCCATTCACAAGCCGTGATTTTTCTTGGAGGAATAAATCTGTTACAAAAGTATCTCTATTTTGTGAATTCCACTTTTGGAGCCGTTGAAATGGACTTAAATGTGTAGTTGTTGCTTAGATGTGCAGAAGCAAGTGAAGATCCTACGCTTAGTTCATGATGTATTCTACCTGTTTTCTGTCGGAGTGAACTTCCTTATCGTCTCAGGACAGCATATTCCCTTGTTAACCAGCTGAGGAAGTTGTTTATGATATAGAAGAGAATATAGAGTTTAGCAACTGGTATTCCGAAATGAGTTGACGACTATCGAATTAAATGTATTAATTGACAGTCTTACAAAGACAGTAAGTAAGAAACCATAAGACCTACAAATGCTTGTTGTTCACCTTTCAATACTTTGGACCAAAGGGTTCAAAATTTCCATTTCACCACTGACTGCACGAATGACCCTAGAGAATACAGACTTACAGTCTTCTACCCGATCGTAATAAAACTAAATTGTTCCAAAGAAACTCGACCAAATCCAAAATAAACCAGACAGTTAAAGTAACAATTGACTAAATTAGAAACAAAACCAAATGGCTTCAGATGAAATTATATTGATAACAGTATGCTGAAGAAATGAAATATTACTGTTCTGTTAAACGAAATTTACCAGGTGAACATAGTTCAGACCTTCAAATGTCAGAACACAAACAGTGAAATAGTTGAACCTGAAAGTAGCTCTCAGTTAAATAAAATGCCAATTCAAACTAGATATGTAGAGTCCAATGAAGCATGAACAGCTCAATTAACACGAAATGGTATTTTAGATGCCGAGGATGTTGACGTTAAAAGGATAGTACGAAGTATACTAACGCAAGATCTAATACCCACAACTTCTATAGTATTCGTTTCGCGTAGACCAAAAGCAAAGCGAAACACAAGAACTGATCGGCGAAATTACGAGTTATATTTTGGGACTAAATCGGAGTGCGAGATGATTGTTTAACTAGCTAGGAACAATATACAAACGAACGTAACACGACAGCGTACCAAGTGGCATGGATGTTTGACCGGAAGCCTTCTGCTGAACTAATCGACTAAAACAGTGGGGGTCATCATCCAATGTTCACTGCTGAATTCTGTGGCTAATACTTCTAAAGGAATTACCTATCGCTACAGTATTTAAAGTACAAATTTAGTGTCGAAAAATGGAATATTAGACGTAACATCTACCGTAAAGCAAAATATGGATCCCTTATTTTTTAAACAGCTGTAGTGTCTTTTTGGAAGCAAATATATTTCTTATCTCTCACTTCTATGACCTAGTAGACGTTTTCATCATCATTTCACTAAGTGCTGTCATCGATATTAAATGATCAGAGTCACTGGAATTAGTTCTCCTCAGCATTCGCCACACCTTCAGGGTGGATAAAAATGCATTTAAGCTCAGTTTTTTAACGAACCAAACCCCGTTGTTTTGGTAGATTAATTACTAACTAACGTAACCTACATCAGAGCTTCTGATAGTCGTGTTTTAGGTTATATTTTAAAGGGTATGAACCTGATGGGCTTCTTGTACTCTTCTAAAAGCACAACCACAGAGTCCTCAACTCAGGTATGCTGGTCAGATGAGTTCCTAAAATCTTTTTTCCGAAGAAATTCTAACCTTCATTTTATTCGAATAAGCTGCTGTTCTGAGCGTATACCCAATCAGCTGAGACTTTTGTTCGTTGTTCACTTCCAGAAATTGAGTGCCAGGTTAGCTACGGATTAGGTGGGTGCTAGAGCGTATGAAGTGTAAAGTACTACATATCAATAACACATCTAGTACTTTACGTATTACTCTGCGTGTGTCACATTCAGCCACCATCCTGTCGTAGATCGACCAGAATGGCACACTTAAAGATGAAGCTTTGGATGTGCACATACGTTTTATACATTGTAATGCTTCTGTGTTGTAAAAAGGAGAGAGAAGTTGATGAATATTCAAAGATTAAAACAACCAGATGCTTTATACAACAGCCGCTTAAAAGCTCCACAAATTCATAACGACTCACTCTCCATCCTTTGGACAAAACCTGTTACACCTGTACTGAACGAATCTAAAAAGGATGTGATTATTCACGAAGGTCTATAATCTACTAACAATATCACCGCTAGTGTTATTAACAAAACATATTTCAAGCACACCAGCTAAGGTATGCGTTTACCTAAGTGATAAAAGTCTTTGCCAGTTACGCCCATCTTACTGTTCTCTTTGCAATCGTACGTTTAGTGTAGCATAGGTCTGGTGAGTATACTCATAAAGAGTGTCCTCTTGTTTGCACTTATAACCCACCAAATTACTTTGAAAGCCCTAAAATACATAAAATCTTTCTGAAGAAGTGCCTAGTACCCTTCGGAGGAAGTGATTTACCGGACTCCATTATTTTTTTTATATCCGCTTTATTGCTGGTACGTGACTTTTGGATTCTCCTCTCTCTGCTAAGTTTCTGTGTTGTAGACAAGGCAAAACATTTCAAATGTTGTATGCCAGCTATTTCGAACAGTGATATTTTAGTTTTCTTTTGATTTCTTCTGTACAGATTTCACACTTTTACGTCTTTCTTGTAAGCTGATATAACCAGAGAAATGGAAACCGTATCTCTGTGAATTCTCATAATTGTGAAAAGGTTTTCATATAGATGCATTCATTTTGGAGACATATATTTGAGAGAACCCACCTCTTTTGTAGGAATATGTTGCTTACCCGCCTCGCAGCTGCATGGTACACTTTCTGACACTAAAATAAAATTAGAACGAAGATAGAATGAATGGTTCTAAGATGATAAAGTGTTGTCAAAAAAACGACTAAATTTCATAATCGAGCAATGTTATTTGATAAGACACACAGTGATACAGTATTATTTATTTGCTCGCCACTAATGAAGGTAACTAACCAACAACAACAAGCAGCAATCAATATCAAAGGGAGGAATTTAAAGGAGGTCACTCCCTTCGTCTATCTAGGAGGAATTGTTTCTATTACAGGCAGATGGTACAGATGAGGATGTCAAAACCAGAATCGGAAAGGCAAGGCAGACATTTATCACTCTGAAATCAGTCTTGAAATCTGCTGAGCTCAGTATAAATGACAGGACTCGGATTTTCAACACCCCTGTTAAGTTAGTTCTTCTATATGGGCCAAAGACTTAGGGTGTCACGAGAAGCGTTTTCAGCAGTCAGCTGAAGACTTTCATCAAGAGCTGCTTTCTTTGGCTCCATAGTGAAGATGAAATGACCGACCAGAAATAATTAGAAACAAGGAACTATTGGAACAAACCAATCAAAAACCCACTGCTGAATAAATATTCCGTAAATGAGCTGAGGAGACCATTCATTGGCATCGCATGCTTAGTTCTGAGGTGGGACCCTAACGGGAAATGGCGAGTTGGGCGTGCATGTGAGGGCGACATGGGGGAGATCATGTGAGGAGGAGATGAGAGCCTATGGACAATCGGGGAGCCAGCTGAAGAGGACCTCAGAGAAGATTAAAAGGTGGGGATGTGCTCTTGAGGCCTCAAGGGAATAATAATATAATGATGACTGATCAGTAAATCAGTTATCATGAACCATTGAGAACCAGGGAGTACTGGAAAGCTATTTCCTCCTTGTTTATGGCCCAGAACCTTGGATGTGCTAGGCGAACTCGTATACTGGATTCGATCTCGGTTGGAGTCATGTATGTATATTACTGGAGAGTTCCAAAAAAGGATGAGACAGAAGTCCAGTACTCTGTGTTTCTTATTAGCTCTTCAAATGAATTCATTTCATCATCAATCTAGAAATCAGTGAAATTCTGTAAACCGAATTCTGATGAAGAGAAGCTTTTTGAATTTCCCGAGAAGTATGACTTTAGTTACATATTTATTTAAACATTAGACTATATGAAACGGGTACCTTGAACGGTGAATTCTCACCCCCTAGCACTATCACATCTCCTTCAAGTGATTTTATTCTTATGATATTCATAATGTGGTCTAAAAAATTGGTTGATTTGTTCATGGGGTATTTGAGATGTGCAAGAATTTTTTACTACTTAGTTAAAACAAATTCTCTTTTGAACACTACTGTAATAGTTATTTGTAATGGTAGTATTTCGGAAATCAAACCAACAACACAGAGAGGGATGAATTTAGGAATTTGTATTTGGCAGAATTAATTGTAATTCATCTAATAAATGTTAACAAACAACAATAAGCATTTAAACAATACAGTAGTAGAAATTGTCAATCACCACAACTACACAAATAAATTGATACATTAACAGATACAGCATAAAATACTGAATGTGAATTCTTAAAATGAAGTCATTATTGGTAAACAGAAATTTAAAAAAACAAAACAGATATTTCCAAAAATGTAATTTCATCATTCCAATTACATCCAGTTTATAAGGATGTTAGTTTTAAAAGATAGATTAATGAACTAAAAATATTCTTTCTGATAACTTCCTCACCAGGCTCTATATTTATATTACGGCAGTAATTAAGAATTATTGTTATTAACAATATTGATGATGTCAATTGGTTGATGGTGACTAGCAGTGGAATCCAAAATGCTCATTTCGACCTATTTGGGACTCTTGAGGTATCTGCATTTCCAAGTGAGTGGTCGTGTTCGCACTGAGGCTGGAACCCAGTGCCCATAATTTCTAATGTGATAGCGTTATCTACTAGACAACTTGGA